GAGCGACGTTTTGCCGTGGTTAACTGCTGTGTTAGTGAATAAGAGTTTCTCTGCTAAGAGAACAATGTCGCTCACAACTCATACTCTTTTATTAAACTGCAGTGCACACAGAGAAGAGCACCTACGCAGAGAATGAATGATCGACCTTTTGAAACTGCAGCACGTGCTGGTCGGGGTTGGGCCCTAAATATATTAAGCGTACTTACCGTACTATTAAAACCCCTACTATTGTAAACAGGAAACACTGAAAAGAGTAGCAGGGAAGAAAGACATATTCTGGTGGAAAAGAATAGCCCGTTACGTGTGAAGGTTTTAGGAGTTCACTTAGAAATATGGCCTGAAAATGATAGAAAAATGAGTATTTGTCTTCCTTACGGAGTTTCTCTCCTAAGTGGGCTTTCTCTGAATAACACAAATGAAGATAAGAAGGCAAGAAAAATACTTTAAAAATTACTGTTAGTAAAAGAATTGGAGCTATTACAAAGTAAAACACAGTATATATTTAGAATATCACAGGGTATGAAATAATATTTCAAAGGTAGGGGTGAGGTATTAAGGCTTTATGTACAAAGATAAGATGGTAATGACAGGCAATCTACAACATTTTTAAGCTTTAAGTCACCAGACATTTTTGTTGACAACAGCTTTTTTCATGATTCTTTAACCTTGGAACTCAAGAAAATATCATTATAAATGTTTGGAGAAAGAAGGGCATTACCTTATTTTTTTGGAATCACTGCTCTTTTCCTGGCTTAAAATAGTATTGGACTCCTCGTGACAGTGATGTTTCCTCTGAAAAATCTCCTTGTTTGAGTAACTGTTCAGCCTACCACTTTGTCTCAAAACATCTTCTTTCAAATCAGCAGTTTCAGCATTATTCCTCTTCCAGCAGCCACGCCACTTAACATACACCCAACTGTTCCCCATTTTCCTATAAGCAAAATAATTTGTATTTACTGGCAGTTATTCCCTTAGCAACATCGTGGGAGAGATGCTTTGACTGACCTTTTCACAGCTTTTCAAAAAGCTACAGAGCAAAGTAATTCAATAGCCCTTTGTAATCTAGGAGAAGTTGCAACCTCGGCCTAATTTTTTCTGCTGACCAGAACAGTGTATTATAAAATGACACTGAGAAAGACCTATCTGCAGCTGGGGTATCAAATGAAAATTACGAGTTCTATGTTCTTTTTGGAACTATTTCCTTGTAACAAAGTTCCTAAACAGCAATTTTTACTCTCTCAAAGAAAAAAAATTAAATGAACACCTTGTTATAATGCCACATTTCAGACTATGTTAGAGTGATGCTTGCCATATGAACTTAAAATAATGTGTGATTCATTTCCTTACAAATGGGGACTTACATCAGTCACATGATTTTTTTTTTCTGTTGATTACAAAAAGGGCAAAACTAACTACTAAGAGGGGTGATGTTCTTATATAAACTTTGTGTTTTCATTAGTGGAAGAAGTTACCTACCATTGCTGAAGTTGAATATATCAATGCAACAGAAAACTCCGTTCTCCCCACGAACCCTCCTCCACAAGAACAACTGAAAAAAGATCCAGTCCCTTCAAATCAGTTGTGTCTATAATAGATGTGATAATGGTAACTCAAGAGAATATTTGTCAGTTCAGTATTTATGTAAAATATTTCCAAAAATAAGGTTTCTCCATTCTTTTTCTAGACAGTACATTGCAAGATTGTGTGAAATTATTTTCCTTACCATAAGATATTTTTAGGTGTAGTATTGATAGATAGTTTTTGGAAAAATTGGAAGTTCCATGACACATTTCACAAGATAAAGTGTGGCAGAAGACTTGCGTTAGTCATTGCCTTCCAAAGTAGAAGTTCAAAAAATAATTTTAGCTTGCTGACAAAATACAGTTCCTCAGGGACTGGATGAAGCAGCTATTGAAGCACACGCAACAACACTAAATAGTACTACACTGAAGGAAAAAGTCAAGCATAATGAAACTGCAGTAAGATTTTAGAATATAGCTAGAATATTATAGATTAAAGAGGGTGTTTTGCCTTGTTTAAACAAGTAACATCCAAAAGTCCAAAAGACAGAAGAAATCGGGCATAAAATAATGAAGTTTTCTTCCAGAAAAAACATACAAGTGATGAATTTTTTTTTCTGAAATAACCCAATTCTCCTTTGTAATGTGCATATTCAGTTCAATATTCTAATGGATATATATAACTAAAAATGAATCTCTTTGCTCAAAATATGTAACATTTTAAACAATAGATTTACATAGCCTAATAATTGCTTTAACTAAAGCCACAGTACAACCAAGCGTTTACTTGTTCTTTTTATTTTGCACGGATACTCCTATTTTTTTTTATCCCTCATTGAAGTTTTAGTTGTTTTAGTCATAATTTCTTCGATTTAGAGCTCAGGAAAAATAAATAATCACTCATATCCATGAATAATGCTGTGTTTTCTAGCAGGGAGCAGCTATCCTTTGCAAAGCCTTCAGGGTAGAGATACTTTTGCTTGCTTTTGGCATTGCCAAATTATAAATTTATGTGAGCAAATTAGAGAAACAGAAAACTTGAAGATGTTAAGAAGAATCTCCACAGGTGTCTGTTGGATTTCTGAGGTTAGTTTGAAAGGGCAAGTTTGACCCACTTAAGTCATTAAAAATATATATATATATAGTTGCTTGTTGGCCTGTACTTGATCTATGAATAGCTCAATCTATGCTTTTCACTAACACTGAGGACTGGGTTCTGCATGAAGCACGGTGGCTGTAAGCTTTCTGTTGAAAGGAGATTTTTTGGTCTAAACTACATAAAAAATCCCTTTGATCAGGGACTGGGAGCCAGGTCTTCCTTCTGCCAGGTAATTGTTGTAATAGCCAGACAATAGACTGTACCTGACCTGCCTGATCTACCTGGTCCCAGAAATCTGTTCTAGTTCTTCTTATTGCTGTAATTTCAAATGGAAACGTTACATACCTCCTGCACCTGTTTAAGTCCTTTTCTGGGAGAGGAGATTTTCAGCCTCCCGGCTGAAAACAAAATAGAGATCTCAATCCTCAACCCCAAGCTCATTTAAACACATGAAAGAAGAAGATCACTGAGGGGTACTTCTAGCACGACAGCGATATTTAGGCGAGAAAACATCTTGGGGATACTGATTAGACTTACTGCACATTGAAAGCCTCAAATGCAGCAGCCTTCACTGCACAGAGCTTTGTGTAGGAGCCTGGACTTCGATTTCTCATTGACATACAAATTATTAACACTCTTACAGAAGACTTCATTTATAATATTGCTATTTAGGATGAGGAGAGGAAGTATTCTGCAAGGATTGGAATGTTTAGATTACTGTAAGAATTTTTAGTGACGTGGTTTATTTAATCTTTGGATTAATTTTTTACTCAGTTCTATCTGGAAGAACTTTGGCATTATTTATAAAGTTCCAGAGAAATACACAAGTTTGTTGTAATGCCACAAATCATGTTTTGCAGCTCTGAAATACTTTAGGATAAAATTTTTAGAAATGCATATCCTATACTTGTTACCTTCTGATGAAGGAAACTAGCAACTTAGATTTTCTTACAAAAACAAACACATCAAACACAATGAAAAGAAAGTTTTGATTGATTTTACCTTATTTAACGCATCTTGGTGCTTGCTTGCCAGCAGCTCTTTTCTTCTTTGCTCATCTAATTGTAGCACACTACTTGAAAATTGCTCCAAAGTTTTCAGGAGCGCAAACAGAATACCTTGGGGTGATCAGTTCTGCTTATGACTATGGGGGAATACCATTCAGAAAAAAATAGGTGGGGAAAACCCACCAGTAAAAGCAAAATGGGCAATACAGTATCCGTTACATACGTCTGTAATTTCACATTATCGGTGGGTTTTGTTTTGCACTACTATCACATAAATCGCTGGAGTTTTTGCAGGCATGTTCTTAGAAAGACATATCTCCTACCTTTTATATGTACGGGTTTATATACATGCTTTCACAGTCTGCAGTTCTAAATTTTACAGTGAGCTCTAAATTGACACACTGCTGCCTGCCAGGTGAAAAGTGCACTTCCACTGTGCTATGTTCTATTAAACGACTGAGAAAAATCCCTAGTTTGTGGCTTTGATGTAATGGGTTTTTTAGCTCATAAACAAAGCATATGTGAATCGTATCAATATAAACTATACCTCCTTGGTAGGAATTATGGCTATGTGCAAATTTTCCCTTTTTTATATTATACCAGTTGAACTAAATACAATACAGTTTTCAGAAAAGTAATGTATAAAAGCAACTCTAAAAATCTGCTTCATGGTTTTTCTGAGGGAGATTATTATGACTACCCACTTGTAGTACTCAGTATCTATTCATTTTATGATGGATGCCTTTGTTCAGTTTTTAGCCAGTTTACAATGAAATTTTAGAGTTAGTGTTCAAGACC